TATACATGTTATTGTTAGACACCGTCAAGTACAATTCATAGTGACCACATGAAAAACCAATCTTAGCATTGTTCTATGTCATGCCATCCTCACAATCTCTGACACATTCAATCCTATTGTTGCAGTCATTGTGTCAATCAACACCATAACTCATTGCTTTGTTCTGTAATCCTTAGTCATTTTCTAACTTTAAAAAAATCCAACACCCTTTTCTGATTAAAACACTCAACAAAATAAGATTAGAGGGGAATTTCTTCAACATAATAAAAAGTGTTTATGAAAACCCAAGGCCAACATTGTTCTCCATGGAGAGAGGTTAAAGGTATTCCCTTTAAGAACAGGAACTATGCAAGGAAGCCCACTCTCACCTCTCTTATTCAATATTGTATTGGAAGTCTTAGTGATAGCAATAAGACAAGAAAAGGAAATAGAGATATCCAAATTGCCAAAGAGGAGGTAAAATTATCTCTCTATGCAGATGATTTGATAGTATACTTAGAAAACCCTAAAGACTCAGCAAGAAAACTATTGGACACAGTGGCCTGATTCAGCAAAGAAGAAGGATACAAGATCAACATAGAAAAAATCAGTTGGATTTCTCTACAGTGGCAAAGAGACTACAGAGCTGGAGCTAAGAAAAACAATACCCTTCAGAATAGCTAATTACAAGATGAAATACTTGGGAGTAAATCTAACCAGAAGCACAAAGGATCTATTCAAAGAAAATTACAAAACATTACTACAAGAAACAAAAAGAAATTTAAGAAGTGGAAGACTATCCCTTGCTCATGGATGTTGTTGTTGTTAAGTGCGAGTCGCAGGCAACTCATAGCAACCCTATGAAGGAGAGTCCTTGACGCTTGGGTGCCTTTCATCCTCTCTCCAGGTTCATAGCGTTTATGGAGGCAAGCTATTATGGAAGTGGATGCCACTCCTCCTTCCACGCTTGTTTAAATCGGGGAGCTCCACCCCACTCTCTGTCTGTATTGGGTAGCCAACCATTAAAGCATTTGACACATCCGTGTCACAGTGTTAAGCCTCACAGCAACCACAAGTGACCACGGGACGGCAACTTGTACACTAGGGCTATACGACTTAGGGGAATGTCTTGGTGTTGGTCACGGATAGGAAGACTTAATATTGTGAAAATGGCAATAAAACCAAAGGCAATTTACACGTTTAATGCAATCCCAATACAAATACCAATCCTATTCTTCAACGAGATGGAAAAGGCAATCTCCAGTTTCATTTGGAATGCAAAGAAGCCCTGAATGAGCAAAGGAATTCTGAAAAACAGAAGAAAGGTAAGAGGCATCTCACTCCCTGATTTCAAATTCTACTACACTGCCATGGTAGTTAAGACAGCATGGTACTGGTACAATATCAAACACATAGATCAATGGAATAGAATTGAGAACATGGAAATCAGCACATCTATCTATGTTCAACTAATTTTTAACAAGGAGATGAAATCAGTTAAGTGGGGAAATTACAGCCTTTTTAACAAATGGTGTTGGCAAAATTGAAAAAGAATTTTCAAAAGACTTAAGCAAGATCTACACTTTCCTCCATATAAAAACAAAAACAAAAACAAAACCAACTCAGAGTGGATCGTGGACCTAGGATTAAAACCAAGGACTATAATCTTCATTAAAGAAAAATTTGGAAGAACACTAGAGATCCTAATCTACAACATACACAGTCTTGAAATTATCCTGAAAAACCCATCAGGAGAAGTTAAAAGAGATGAATGGGACCTTCTTAGAATCAAATCCCCAATACACATCCGAAAACTTCTCCAACAGGGTTAAAATGAAAGCCACAGACTGGGAAAAATATTTGGTGATGACATGTCAGATAAGAGATTTATATCTAGAATTTATAAAATACTTGAGCACCACAACAAGATAAATATAAATAATACAAACAAGCACTTCATTGAAAAAGACATTCAGATGGCCAACAAGCACATGAGGAATTGTTCAAAATCCCTGGCTCTAAGAGAGATTCAAATCAAAACAATTATGAGATATCATCTCACCCCAGTCAGAATAGCAAAATTTAACAGAACAGCAAGCAACAAATGCTGGCGAGGTTGTGGAGAAACTGGAATCCT